CGAGGTTAAACTACTACGATGTTGCGTCTTCCTACAGTACTCTGGAATGTTACAGTTGAGAAAGCAACACCGGCTACCTAGAACCGTTGGAAGAGCACTTTTTGGACTATTTGGAGCTACTACCCGGCCTGAAGCAAATGCTGTACTCTCAGAGAGCCACAAAATAAATTATTGAGACAATTTCTGGGGGATAATAACCTCCATGTCTGTGAGAAGGCGGGAGTCAACAGCGCGCTGGAAGTCCTCAGCGGGTTATGGGGTTAATGACTAAACACATATTGTGCGGTATTCTTTCTCGACCATGCATTAAAACGGGAGAAAATGTCATTTATTTCAATGCGAGGGTTCGGCAAGCCCTTCCGGTGTCAACACGGTGAAATCCCGGCAAAGAAGTTCGAAAAGGCGATGGCATTACAGTGCTTGATATCCGGTATCCGTAACGAAGATGTTCGTGAATGGCTGTTGTCGGAAAATGTGACGACGACAAGCTGGGAGAAGGCCTACGATATTTTTCATCAGCTGGAGAATGTCCATAAACAGTTAACAGCTTTTGCTTAGAAAGCTCATACAGTCACAATCCAGGTGATCGACGGAAAAGTTTTATCCCGAGACAGTCCGAATTGCCTTTTGCCTGTTACCAATGTGGAAGTCAGCATTTATAGGCCGAATAATGTCGTCATAAACAGAGTATCGGCCGCCAATGTAGAAAAGTTGGGGCACTTGGCCAGAGTTTGCCGATCCAAAGCTGGTACAGCTGTGACAGCACGATTTCCCAAGAAGCCTGTGAAGATCGTCCAGTCTTGAGATGACCAGCTAAACAAAATTTGGAACGCAACGTCGAGCATCTGTAGCATTCAATCACCCTACACTGTGCGGTTGGAAATAGAAGGACAGTTGGTTAAAATAAAAGTTGATACCGGTATCTTAATTACCATAATCAGTGCTACATCAGTTAAAAGATTACCCAAGTTATCCCCCTGTGAATCAACTTAGCGTACGCACACTGGGCAGCCGATACCAATCCTAGAAAATGCACTGTTCATATTACCATGGGGAGAAACGGAGCTTACAGGCATATGTTATGGCAAATGATCGGGAGCGACTGGATCAAATGCCTTCCGGCTACACTAAGGACAGTGAAGTGCATGTACACTAACTAGCGGTTGGATGATGTGCTCAACATATATTGACTTTTTTAATGATAAACTGAGAAACTTGAATGGATATCAGGCTAGTATCAAATTACGGCTGGGAACTCAGCTCGGCTTTTTCAGGGAACGCACCCTACCTTATTCCCTGAGATCAAAGTTGCAAGACCAGATACAGAGATTGCAATCAGCAGGAACAATCGAACCAGTCCAATACAGTGAGTGGGGAGCTTCAATATTTCCAGTCCTGAAGCTGATTGGTTCTGTGCGGATTTGTGGTGACTATAAACGGACTGTTAATCGTTGTTTAATTCTGGATAAGTATCCCGTACCTAGGATAGATAATCTGTATGCTACGCTGGCAGGCGGACAAAAGTTCACGCATATCGACTTCAGCCAGGCCTACTTACAAATTGGGTTAGACGAGACCTCACGCTCATGCCCTACGATAAGTACCCACATGGGTCTATTCCAGTACAAATGTCTGACCTTCGGAATCTGTTCAGCCCAGGCGATATTCCAAAGGATTATTGACAAGCTGATAAAAGATATTACTTTCACTTACGCCTATCTAGACGACAGTCTGATTGCGGGACGTACAGATGCTGAAGATTTGCAAACGCCATCCACTGTGCTCGAACGTCTACAAATGAGTAGACTCAAGCTGAAGAAGTCCAAGAGCACATTTTCTCAGATTCCGTTCGTTACTTAGGTTACCGCTTCGATAAAAACGGATTACAGGTGTTAGAAGACAAAGTCAAGCCCATCCTTTTCGCACCTGAACCCAAGAATGAGGCGGAACTCCGATCGTTTTTGGGATGTTTTCTAAATATGGTCGCTTCTTACCGAACTCATCAACAGTATTATCACGCTTATACGGACAGTTGCACAAGGGGAAGTCCTGAACTTGGGATCCGCATCAAAGAAAGGCCTTCACAGATGTAAAAAGAGCGCTCAGCGCCTCGTACATTTCGATCCGAGCGGCCTCCAGTGTGATACTTCCCAACGCGCAGTCCTTTGCCACCGGACGGATGACGGTTCGATTCGTCCAATCGCTTTTGCTTCTCGCACTCTGCAACCCGCTAAAAGAAATTACTCCCATCTGGATAGAGAGGCTTTAGCAATTATGTTCGGAGTCAAGCATTTCCACCAGTACGTTGGGGAAAGACATTTCGATACACACACTGACCATAAACCACTTCTTACGCTTCTGGGTGAAAAGAAAGGAATCAAGCAAATGTCTTCGCCTCGAATGCAAAGGTGGGCACAACTTGTGAGCGCCCATAACTACAAATTTCAGTATGTAAACGAATCTAGTAAGACCATTGCCGATGCACTTAGTAGGTTCCCGGAGCAGCATAGTATAAAAACGAACAGTGAACCCATGGAGTTTATCAATTTGATGCAACAAATTGACGTGGTGAGGTGCCTGAGGAACCGGGACCCTGTGTTGTCGATGGTGAAACGGTTCTTCATGACCGGATCGCCCACAAGCATGTCGGACGAACTGAAACCATTCACCTGTCGGAGTAATGGATTGAGTTCGTACGACGGCTGTATATTTCGAGGCTCACGCATAATTCCACCGGACAAACAGGTCCCAGTTGCTGAGCTGCATGCCACATACCCTGGCGTGAACAGGATGAAGGCGCTGGCAAGTGGTTACCGTTGGTCGTCGAACATTGACCAGGATATAGAACCGTTGCCGAAGAATTGCGAACTGCATCAGTAATAGCAAAGATAAAACTCTCCCGGTCCGATACATCCATGGCGTTGACCGGAGAGACCCTGGCAGCAGGTATACGCGGACTACTTTGCCCCGATCAGCGGGATGATGTGTCTACTTTTGATTGGTGCTCATTCTAAATGGGTAGAAGTAATTCCAGTTCCACATGCGAGTTCCGCAGCATCAGTTGCAAAACATGCGCCCATATTCGCCGTTTTCGGTATCCAAGAAACAGTATGCACCGTCAATGGAACACCATTTACCACTGAGGAGTTTCAACAGTTCTTGATTAACAACGAAATACGGCACATCAGTCTGCATCGTACCATCTCGTGTCGAATGGAATGGTAAAACGTGCAGTCCGGACTGTGACTGGCTAGACGAACAACCTCACTGCGATGCCAGCTGGGTGGTTCGGGTTAATCTCGTTCCAGCAAATGGTTCGGTGGCAGTGTTCCCGGACGTGGTGGGTTTCCGCCTAGCAAGTGTTCCCCCTATAAAAGGCCACAAATGTCTGTCTAACAACACTTCGACGTGGCGGATGACTCGCCAATAAATAAAGTCACTGCTACTTGCCTTTTCGGAGGATGTTATACACATCATGTACGTCATCTAATTCGAAGTCTTTATTTGATCTTTCTCCGATGGAGAATCCGGCAAGTAAAACCACAAATTCAGTCACATCAACAAACCCACTCAACATGACTATTTGTACATATACGCAATCAACTACATGCATACATACACATGTTACTGGTTAAGCTGTAATTCTTTTGTGCAATTACCGATCATACATGTTTGTATTACCATGATCATGCCTTAACAGGTGTGCCTCACACTGCTGAGAATCAACTATTCATTTACTTAAGCAAGGTTACCTCAAGCAGACTCATGGAACTTTGCAAACTAAGTTGGATGGTCTCCTGTTCTCTAACCGTACGACACCAACTGAGTCGACAGGGAAGTCACGCGCGGAGTTAATGTTTGGCGGGCCACTATGAACGAGACTGCACCTACTTTTTCCGAACCCTTGAAGGAGAATGGAGGTAAAGCAGGAGATGTGTGGGGGATGATAAGATGTCAGAGGAAATGTGTCTCGATGATTTTGATAAGGTGTACACAAGAGTGCCTCACGAAGCAAGCGTGCAACCTGCTACAATTATGTCCTCAACGAGTAACCAAGCGGAGCTACAGCTGGAGCACGGCCGTGTGGTGCGCCGCCATTTTGATCATATCAGGCGACAATCGAAGCGCGTGAGCGGGATCAAAAATCGACTGCTACTGACGCAAAAACGGACGGGGAATCTGCCTCACAAAACCAGGAACCGCAAACGGATGCGAAACAACCTCAATTAAGACGCTCAAAACGCACGCCTAAGTCTGTTGATCGGAATCAAACCCGGAGTCTACAGTCTTTACCAGGAAAGAGAGGGGTGTCACGTATGCAGCTGTGTATTGATCGTGAACACAAGCGCTCACATGATTGGTTGACAATGAAATTGCGTTACCTTCTTAGTTCATTGGTTTTTCGTTTCGGCATTTCTAGCCACTGTAACTTAGGAAGCTTTCATTAAACGGTTCCATACTACCCCTGCACATTCTGTTCCGTGTATAGGCTACGGGCCATAGTTAGCTGACCTTAAAGCTTGAAATCGGGAAAGGAGTAGGTGCAAAAGCGTTCTACATTAGTACAGTCCACGACAGATGGTTCTCGATTGGGTCGCCAAGACACAGGTGGAGCAAAGAATGTAGGACTTACAGCTGAACTGCAAGAGCATCTGGACGCTCTGAAAACAGAGTTAAAAGTAGTGTGCGACGAAAGTGGAGCAAATTGCTGAATGGTTTGATGAGAGGGATCAACACACAGATGTCCAGACGCCGAAGGGACACGGTTGGGTAGTTTAAATACAAACATGGGTCCGAATAACCATATCTCTTAAGAAATTTGAGAACGTCAAATTGACGATAGTACGATAATTAGGCACGTAGACGAACTCTACGAGTACATAAGGGGCACAGGTAGTAGACAGACTTCCTCCTGTGACACTGATGAGGCGGGGGAAATCGATGAGCAACAAGGGGTAGAGGATTACAAAATAGCAAAAATAACCACGAAAGTCAACAATCCGGACAAATAAAGTGTATCATTGTGTGTGATGGACATCAAGTAATAAAAATGCTCAAGACATGCGAATCCGTCCACATACACGAACTCCCTGAAAATACAATGATAAAAGTAGTGTCCACAAAATGTATGCATGGATACGGCCAACGAAAAAAAGAATTAAAACCGATTGCGGAAAGTTGACGCTGATGTGTTGATCTACACAGGTTGCGCACAGAAATGTCAAAGCAAAAATAGAGGTTGAATCAGATTACGTTACTAGATAGTGGGCTCGACAGGAGACCAAGAATAACAGATTGAAAGCGAAAATCGCATAACTGAGGAGATAAAAAGTTAGGTATGTTGAAATTCTGGGATATTTTTATACCACAGAAGGAGTTTGGTAATAGATGCATGTTAAATAGGAGTGTGAACATGTACGGCGATGCGGCATCAAACGAAGTTGGATGTGCCTGAGGCACAGTACATCGGATTCGCCATTGGTATGCGAACTTCCGCCCGTTTAAGTTCCAGTTGATGCGAATACGAGGAGTGTGCCTCATCCCTCTCGTCATCGGATCAGCCAAGTCTATTCACACTGTCTCGAGGATCTGATGATGGATGTAGGTCGTTTTGATGGTGAATGTTGTCCGGTGGAACTGCGTGAACTTAAGGAGCTCAGAGAACGATGTGCCAGTATAGGTCTGAGTAGCAAACGCAATTCTTGTGTAAGCGTCTCATAACGATAAGCTATGCGAATATTTGGAACGTTGGTTCGTGTAATATCATTCCCCAGTGTGCCCTCTTGAAGGTAATCCGGACCTAGCCAATAGCATTTAATCTGGGGTCAAGGCAAAAAAGGGAGGAAACAATAAATATGCCACAAGAAGGAAAATGCTCAAGGCAAAACAATTGCGGGAAGCAAGATCGTAACCAAACAAGCGAACAATTCAGATAACGTGGGTTTCACTAGACAGTAAGGTACACGATGTCCTGGCTCTGGCACAATGCATGGTATCAATCCCCGGAATGTATAAGGACGATTTACCCATAAAGCAAACAAACTGCAATGTAGAAGTGAATTGGAACAGAGTGAAAAGAGGTCACTACAGTCACTGCTACTAATGCTGCCACTAGCGCTAGAGCTACAGCTATATTGCAATGAAAAAATCAATAACAAGTGCAACAAGGATTACCACTACTACTAACACTGTAGCTACTAGTAGTATTAACACCGCTATTGGCAAAACAAATGTTACCACTACTACTACTACTAAGGCCACAACAACTAATAAAACGAATACAACAATAACAACAACAACCACAACAAAAAAGTAAAACCCCATTAACACTGCTACAGCAACCACTATAACTACTACAACCACAACCGTTACTAAAACAACACCTAATGCTACTACAATCACTCTTAAATCTACTACAAGTACTAAACAAATAAATGAATGTTTATTCTAGTTAGTGCTTTTGCGAAATTTGTGTTCCAGTGCGCAGACACGCATTCCGAGTGGTAGCTTACTCCAGACTCTGATGTACTTATTAGGGAAAATATTCGCAAAGCTGTTGAGCCTAGACTTGCATTCCACCACTGAGCACTGTTTATGTCGTGCGGTGTAGACGGTTGATTGCATCAATGCCAGGTTGAGGTTGGAAACGTGTATATTTTTGTGCAAGATGTTGAAAAATATAACCCGATTATGCTTCATGCGTCGTAGCCAGAGCGAGTCAAGCTTGAGTTTATCAAACCGTTCAGAATATTCCATTTTTGAAGAAGCAACTAGAAGACGAATTGTGAGTGCTCTCTGCACTTGTTCCAGTGTAATGCAGTCGCGCTTCTTTGAGGTGTTATACACCATTGAACAATATTCCAGCGTGGGTCAAACAACTAATATATAAGAATCAAGTGTCGAATCTTGGAGAGGAAAGGTCCTAAATATCAATCCAGTGTTCTGTGTTGTCCACGCGGGGCAATAGTCTAGGTATCCACAGAAGACAAGTGAGCACGATTATGGCAATCCCAGGTCTCTAACAGTAGGACGGAGATTAAGTGGTTTGCCATCAAGAGTCTGGTCGCTGTCAGGCAAACCGCACTTGTGGGACATTGCACAAAATCCATCGACCGAGAAAGACATTTCCCACTTCGAGCACCAGGTTCCAAACGCATGCAGGTCAAGTTGGATCATGTTGACAGCATTGTTGAGGTATCAGGAAGGAAAGCGTTTACGATTTTCATGTCATCGGCATAGATGTATGATGCACTGAATTTTATTACGTCGAAGATATCGTTTACATATTCGGACAATAGCTGCCCAGACACGGTCTTGTAGTATGCCGCTGGTGACAGATGTAGGCTCAGAAGCATTTTCATGAAGTTGTACCACTAGCGCTCGATTTGTAAGATCTGAACCAAAAAAGCAGGGGTTCACCGAGCTTACAATACGTCATGTTAGCTATTAGTTGCCTATGAGGCACCCGATCAAAGGCATGTTTATGTAAGTTCGAACTGCCGATGTACCAAGATAGTGTGAGACAGTTAAATGGTTTATAAATTATTAGTAGCATGTTATGCAGGATCGAATATTCAGGAATTCGTGCTGAGAGTTGTTAATTAGCATTCTTGACACTAGGAATTCGACAATTCTAACTGTGATATCGCTACATCATTGTCGATACATTAGACACGTGGCTTTTTGGGCGATAATTGTTAGACTCAAACATGGACTGCGATTTGTGTCGACAAAAGTTAGCTTCTTTCCACTGAGGTGGCACAGTGCCGGTGTTCATAGAGAGAGCGAACATATTAAACAGTAACAGGGGGATGTCTTCCCCGCCGAATTGCACAACTGTGGGGGAATATTGTCTGAACCCCTGAAATGTGGTACTGCTGTGCATCTGATAAGTTTTTTGTATATCGTGGAGCTTAAATCTGATGCAGTTGAACTGATCGACTGTGACTGGTGGCAAAATTGTGCATACGGGTTTACTATTAAGGTTGGAGGGGCACAGAAGTATCGCTTAAACATTTCGTTGCTACGACTATACCAACTACAAGCATTAGCAAAACAACTATCATTATCACTGCTATTAAAACAACCACAGCTGCTGCTAAAAAACTACTACAATTATAGATACTACTACTACTACGAACAATACGAAACCTACAACAACTACAACTACCACTAAGATTACAACCACTATTAAAACTTCTACAACTACAGCAACAATAACTACTAGTACCAAGCTGCTGTTATCACTACTACCAACGCTGCTAGCAAACTCCTACTACTGCCACTGCTAAAACTACTACTGTTACCAGATCTAATGCTTCTACCGTCACCATGAGCACCACTGATACGACCACAAGGTTAGTAATACTACTCTGCTGTTACTAGAACTATAACAACTACTAGCATAGCACTGAAGTTCGCAGTGAATATGAGATTCTGAATGAGTAATGGGTAGTGTAGCGTAGTAATCCTTGGCCTGTTCGTAAACTCCGCAGTACATTGGTTGTACGCAATAACAGTAAGAGACAAATCTGGGAGTGAATTCCGTGCATTGATGCTGCTAATACCTCGTTCACCGCACCAACTGTTAGTAGCGATAGTAACAATGTCAGTGGATGTCAGTAGCTGCAGCACTTAGCAGCATTTGTTTCCGGATTCGCCTGTCACCTTGTTGAAGAAGAGCCACAAGAAGCATGAGTCTGCGGAAAGACGACGAATGAATGCGCTGTATTGCGCACGGCTCCATACACACCAGATATAATCAGCGTGGACCAGAAAGAAGATAGGGAGACAGATAGACGGAAATGCAAACTGTTCGGAAGCCGTTCCGTGCGCATCGCTTGCGTTAAATTGGGGGAACATTGACTTCAGACACATACAACGGGGTGGAGCTAGATCGCGTCCTATTGCGTGATGGAATCCATCTAAAGGCTCGGCACAGCAATGAAGATGGCGCACATCAACTACCCCAGCAATGACTAACAAATCCGTGCAGCTAGTGGTTAGGTGGTGGCATTGGACGAGCATTCGGCCGTCCAAATACGGTGTACCAAACAAGATTATATGTGACCTCGTGCGACCACAACTCGATTGCAACACGGTCATTGACGCAATGTATCACCACAAGCATCAGCAGCTACGCATGCATCAACAAAGCAGATGGATGAAGATACCGTTAAGAGGGACGAGTCACGTACCGAGTGGGGGAATCCGCTCATCAAAACGCTGTTCCGGGCCAGTTCGCACATGTCGGTGGAGGTCAGCTTCCAGACTTGCGTTGCAATGCTGTACTCTTCAATCAGAGGCTCTTTGGTGAAATGGAACTGCAATGGATCATCCGTGCTAAGGCTAACGTTCAGTCCACGAGACAAATAATTGTTGAGGGGATTACGATGATAATCCAGGAACAAAGAGTTGTTACTCAAAGGGGACATGGCGATGCCGATCTGGAATAGACGAGATGGAGTGAAAAATCTTGTAACAAGATACATAAACATAGTGATGGAAAATATAGAAACAATCCGGGCGAAGAGCAAAGAGAAAGAACCAAAATGTATTGCGATGACACGGATGCCAAATGGATAACCATCAACTATGAAGAAAGGGCAATTGTATAAGAACAAGACAAAGTGTGTTGAACAGAACGCATGCAACGCCCACAACCACACTGTTAAGGTCACCTAATTATTAAGTGCATATCGGCGCGTATCAGAAGTCATAAAAAAGGAAAACAGTGCCGAACAAGGAAAATGAAGGAAGACTTTATACGGGCTAAGAAGCACTGCTATACAAACCCTGTTGAGTGATCTGTTGGGTTACTGAAAAGCGTTAGGAAAAATGCAAGTAGTGTTTTTACTGTCAAAATAATGGACTTATCGTTTTCAGTGCAGCAGCTCTGCAATCTGCGTATTTTCACAGCTCCAATAGGCGACGAATAATAAATTCAAGGTATTTCCCGTGAATAGGATGGAGTGATAGTGCTCAGTAAAAAAATGTAGATGGCTGAGGGTGTCGTCCAACCCACTTAAGTATGGTTAGTATTAATGCATTAAACGCGTGACACACGTAGATAGAAAAGAAAGTTCCACGGCACACCAGACAGCTGTACTGTTCTCCTGATTTCAAGGGGTGACCCCTCAAGTTTATGCTGCTGCTGAGTTGCAGTAAAGAGCGGCACACATGTTTTGGATTGTGTAAAATAAAGTATGCCATCGCAAAGTTGTCTCATAATCGGCGATACCGTCCGCTGAGTAACCCCGATCATTTTAGCCTCTGCTCATAAAGTAGACTGCACATCCCAATGAGGTTTTGGAAGCCCGACGTTGAAATTGGTCCAGTGTAGTGAAGTTGTGCTTCAGACATGGCCGCTAGGCTTGAATTGCGTATATGTCAGTAATACAGTTATTGCGTTTCTTGATATGTTTATATTAACAGCTCTTTTTAAATAATTTCTACTAAGTTGCTCTGATCTTGTATATCAGTAGGAAGCCTGTTCTGCACCCTAGCTAACTATGGTGACAGTTTAGCTCAGAAACACATTTTCACATATTTACAGAACATTTAATGCAACATGGACAGAAGACAAATTCGCACCATTTGCTTGTACCAACTTAAACCTAGTCGAAATGCAGCCGAAACAGCCCATGATAACGACAGTGTACTTGATGCAGGAATCACTAATAACCGCAATGCACCATGGTGGTTTCAGAAATTTCGGAAAGCTTACGAGAGTTAGGAGTTCAAGATCATTTTGGATGGCCATTGGAAGTGAACAACAATCAAGTAAGGGCCACAGTTAAAGCAGAACCGCGTAAACCTATTCAAGATGTTGCTGCTGGATTAGCAGTATCGCATATGACAGACCTAAAACACTTACGGTGATTGGAATGTCGAAAAAGTTTGATAAGTGGCGCATGAATAGAATGAAAATCAAAGAAATTGTGGTTTTGAGGTGTCGTCTGCCCTACTGCGCAATAAAAACGACCCGTTTCTCAACAGCATTGAGAGTTGCTACGAAAAGCGGATCCTTGCCGACAATAGACAACGAACCTCTCAATGGGTGGATCACGATCAAGCTCCATCACACTTCCCAATGCCGAAATTGTACCCAAATAAGGTTATGGTGACTGTTTGGTCGTCTGCGGGTGGTATGATCTATCACAGATTTCTGAATCCAAGCGAAACCATTACAGTAGCGAAGTATTGTCAACAAATTGTCAAAATGCACCGAAAATTTCAACACAGGTGGCTGGCACTGCCAAAAGAAAGGGGCCAATTCTTCCCCATGATAACGCTCGGTCGCATTTCGCACAAACAACCCTGCGGAAGCCGCACGACCTGCGCTACGAAACTTTGCCTCAGGCACCATACTCCCCTGACCTCTAGTATACCCATTAACACTTTTTCGGGCACCTGAATAACTTCCTAGGAGAGAAAATTAAGACCCAAGGAGATGCTGAAACCGCTTTCTACGATTTCATCGCTACCAGAACTGCGGAATTTAATTCATCCGAAATAAATGAGTTTGCATCCTGTTCGCATAAGCCTGTCAATTCAAATGGTTTTCATTTCGAGTAAAAATGTTACTTCTGAGCCAAGTCATGTGCATTTAAAGTTTAAGATTAAAAAGCGCAATAACTTTATTACCAAGCTAATAGACATGAGGGCGATTGCAGTGTCGGGGCGAGACATGGCCGGAAAAGCATCAACGTAACAGCAAAAATGCCAAGGTCGGCATGATGCGGATTACCAAATGGTAAAAATTTGGTTAGTGCGCATGGTTGCCAGCTGTGCGAGTGGCGAATATTGCCAATATTGGATTTACGGCATAATAAATGAATAGCATGGGAGTCCAGGATTGCACACCTCCTCTAATAAATATAATGTTTGGAACGCATGCCAAACGCATCAATGAGACACGCAAGAAGGAAAGGTGGCGTAAAAGAGGAAACTACGCATGATACGAAAACAGACATCAGTAGTACGTCGGTACGCAGTAGCGACAATTCGCTGCTGCGCAACCACCTCCAGTTGCGAGGGTCGTCCGGTCCTTTGCGTAGGTTCGAAACTGCGACCTTAGGGACAGAAGGTAGACGTGATCCTTAAAGCCACGGACCGCCGCATGATACAAACTTGAATAAATGTACCCCAAGCTAATAGGAACGAACAAAATACAAAAAATCCGGCTAAGATGGACACGAGCGAAGATGTCACTCAGTCCAGTGATTCCGTTGACTAAGATCGGAGCGGTGTTGGTAAAAGATGAACAGTACCGAAAATGACAGCGAAAACGAGCAAAACAGATATTGACAAAGGACAAACGGAAAATCGTCAAGAGTCCACAAATTCAAAAAAGAGAAGGAGGCAAAGAAGCACCGAGTGGACGATCTGCTCTTAATCCGGTACCAACAGCTTGTGCTAGTGTTCGAGTGTGTTGTATAATACCCATAGGTGGAAAGGCGGTCTCATGTGGGGAAGCCACTGAGATGTGGAATTCTGAAGTTATGTTGAGGTCGACTTGCACCCGATGATAAGACAAAGCGTACGGTTTCAGTCTGTAGCGCCGGTATCAATGCTGTAAGTCCCGTAAACTGAAAATGGGCCTAGTAACGTGTTGAACCCGTTCGGCATTCTTTGTCACACATCAAGCGATCGAACGGTAGATGAGAAAATCATACCCTAACATCGGTCTTATGATGTAGGAGAAGAGGAAAGTGACGACTTCTTCAGACCAGGTGCAGAAGCAGCGCTCAGGTGCAAAAATCCTGCACAAGCCGTTTTGGTGAAACATTTTCGTGTTGTCCAAGGACCTCAAATTGTAACGTGAAGTGCACGTAGATCCTTCACAGGTGTGGGATATATCAGTTGGCCGTCATCACCCTTACTCTATCTCATAGACACCGACTTCGTTAGGTTGACCTAGAGGAAGACGTCTGCTGACTACATGAAGGAGGCGCTGAAGTATTGCTGAATTAGGCCATAGTCATCGGGATTAGTTATCCGTTTTCACAACTTCAGGTTATCCTCCAACAAGACACACGGCGACCGGGGAAGCTTGGGAACTTCTTTGATGTAGATCAAGGACAGAATGGGCCCCAAAGATGTGCCATGAGGTATGTCAGTGGTCGAGGGATAAAGGTCGGTCAGATGGACGTCGATGTGTGCTTTATATTTTAATCAAACGAGAAAGTCGAGGAATCTCCGGTGCAAAAAACCGTCAACACCGAAATCTTCAGGTTAACCATAGAAGCAGACTGATCGACTGCCCCAAGGAATTGCTAGATGTGTGGAGATTTAGTATCGTGTCAGCCGTGGTGTAAAAATCTTTTGTATATAGCAGTTGCAAAGCACACGCATGCGTCCGTGTAATCAACATTGTTTACATCCAATTTGGTCCAAGCCAAAGACAGTCATGTTGTCGCGTAGTTTAAATTTACAGTCGTCCACTTAGCAGATTCACTACCCCCAAAAAATTAGAGGCGAGACAGAGCCATTCGATTCGATCACAAAGTTTAAGATGAACGGAGGAGTAAGAGGGCTTTGATGAATCGCGCTCGACGTGGTAAACGCAGGAAACATGCCCCTAAAAAGTTTTAAACGGCTTCCGGAGTCTCGGTACAGAGAGTTCAAGATAGGAAGTAATTCCACCGATGATGCAACAAAAAGAAACTCTACCAAAAATAGGAGGTACGTGGAGCCACTTGGGATCGTCTGAATATAGATAGCCGGCGACTTACGGCAGACGAACCTTAACAGAGCATGTATAAAAGACAAGGTCGACGGCACCATGAACAACGTGTCATACCACTCCACACGAGAGGAGTTTAGTTGCACATCAAATCAAACTGATGGTGTATGGCGCCGATGAAGCTCGTAGAAAGGGAATAAACCAGTTCGTGTGTTGCATTTTCCATGGGGATCGTCTGTGAGCCAAGAAGGCTGTTTCTACCCAAGTATGCTGAGGAATCTATTCGGTATGGATGATAGAATAAGTGCACATGCGGCGGCGCTAGCACATTTGATTGTGCGCCAATTCGTGCGAATGCACACGCCCCCCATATTTGTGTGATCGATCTAATCCATGCACGAACATGTGCGTCCACTTTTGTTTGCCAAAGTACAGGGATCGGGAGCCGATGTTCCCTACCGCGGCTAAAGTAAACCATAGATTCGATAGTATGCCAGAAAAGGCAAAAACCAGTAGGCCATAATTACACATCGAAATGTGGAAAATTCGGAGTAAAATTGAAATGCTATAGAAAAACTGGAGTGTAGACGAGTTAAATCAAATTAGGTTAGATTAGCTTGGCCCGAACCGACAGTGCAAAATAGCTACAAGCTTGGCACAGTTCCAAAATTACACACATACACAAATCGAAGAATTTGCTGGAGTACAGTGAGGTGGCGCTGGTGCGAAGTAGGCGTCGGATACCAAGGTAGACTGAACGGAGAATTAAGCCACTCTAGCGTTATTCGATAATAAGAATACATGTATCTGTGGGCGATGAAAAATGTGGAAGAAGATGGAGTCAGAAACTGGCAACTCACCTGCGATAAATAGTACAAATACTGCAGGACTGGTGTTTTCCTGAGCAAAAGACCGTGATTGATACTCTCGGCGAGTAGGAAACAGGTGATGAGGTGATTCAGATTGCCGGCCTCTCCACAATGGGGGCGCAGATTGAAAGTATTCAGACCACGATAGCTAGACGGCAGTGTGAGGAGTAAAAGGCATTAGATGAAAATGAGGTTGGAAGAAGGATGCGGTGACTACAAAAGCACTATGGAAAATGTGCGCACAGCGAGCAGCATACAAACTGAAGTATGCCGCAGAAATGCTACATATGTGGATAGACGGTGCATGGAACCGACTGTTGAGGCATCGGTGGTAAGCAGTACAGACCAATCTGGGCTCATGTGTTGTTTGCCTCTATTCCAACCAAAGAAATTTCAGCTACTGTTATCCAACTTAACCCAACACAGGTGGCTAAAATCTAAAAATACGATTTAGTGCTGAAAAACAGGGTTGTTGCCTCAAGCTCCAGATGGCAGACATCAATGAACAATGATTTATCACGGGATAAAAGCAAGTGCTTGACACGTCCCGTAGGATGGTAGCGGTGAATATGAGGCAATTAAAATATGTCTGGGTCATCTATCGAACGTCTGCCGAGATGAATACTTTGATAATTAACATCAGTGTGAAATGAAAAAGAAATATCGCGCGTAAACATTCAGAAAGACAATGGGCCCAGTGATAGTTGAGGTAAGGAGTGAGAAAATAAAATATGGTCGCTCACTTAGGTCCATTTGATACATTAGTCCTGTTGAAAACATGCTTGGCGTAATCCACAACAGAGGAGCTTAGGTAAGAAAATGTTGGGAGCTGAGAGCAACATCTAATCGTTTTTTGAAAACATCCAGGGTAGGAGAGGATACAACTGAGTCTGGGAGTGCGTTCCAAGGTTTGCAAACCCGAAGGGAAAAGTAATTCCGTCGACAATCTAGACGGCTATATTGTTCCTTCAACTTTAAGCAGTTACCCCTGAGCTGCGTGTTGTGGCTAAGTTTCAGCAAATGGCGGCATACGTGGTTGGGGTCACTCAATATCTGATACGCTAATATGAGATCGCCGCGCAGCCTTCGATAACGTCCGCTGAAAATTCCCAGCAACTTCAGCCTTCGGTGGTAAGAGTGATACCGCAGGCCCTTCACGTTCTTTGTTGCTCTCCGTTGTGGTGCCTCTATCGCTTCTAGGTCGCGTTTCAACCAAGGTTGCCAAGCTTGGATTGCGTACTCAACTTGCGGGCGCACGTAGGAATTGAGCATCATTGGGAAGATTGATGGGTCAAATCTCCCGAATGCCCTTCGCAGCATGCCGACATGCTGGTTGCCTCGTTTGGCAGCTACCTCAGCCTGTTTTGAACAGTTGAGGTCGCTCTGTACGATCACACCAAGATCACGTTCCTGGGAGCTATTCTGCAATTCGTTTGTCCCAAGTATGTAGGTGTAGTTATGTCTATGGCGTAATTGTACTACGCGACATTTGTCTACGTTGAACGGTAGCGCGTTATGAACTGACCAGTTCGACACTGTGTTAAGATCGTGCTGGAGCCGTTCATGGTCATCCGGTCCTCTGATCCTTCGCCATATCTTGATATCATCAGCGAAAAATAAGAAATCAGAAGTAATTGATCTCGCCAAATCGTTAATGAACACCAAGAATAGACGAGGTCCAAGAACCGAGCCTTGTGGTACTCCACACGTCACGTCGATTGCATCAGAAAATGATTCTCGGACTCTCACCACTAGCCGTGGTTCCTGCAGAAAATTGCCAATCCAACTAAGGATTTGGTCGCCAATGCTTAGTTCCGAAGCTTCTGAAGGAGAACTCGATGGTCTAAACGATTAAACGCTTTTGAAAAGTCCAGGTAGATGACATCGACTCCAACCCCATCATCAACAGCTTCAGTCCAGCTATTACGTGCAATTAATAGGTTAGTATTACACGAATGCTTTTGACGAAAGCCATGTTGCTCTGGGGCTATTAAATTGTGGCTTTCCAAATATTGCATCAGCACGTCTGCGACGATTGATTCCATCACTTTGGATAGTACGGGAAGTAGTGTTATTGGACGGTAGTTGGCAGGATCAGTGCGGCTACCTCCTTTATGTATAGGAGTGATGACCCCTTGCTTCAATACTGGTGGAATAAGGTTTTCCTCTAGACATCGCTGATAGAAAACAGCCAGTGGTCCTGCTAGGTCACTAGCTACTGCCTGTAGAGCCTTTGGTCGGATGTTATCAGCTCCGGGAGAACTGTGGATACGCAAGGATAACAACTTCTTCAACACAGCCTCCGTAGTGAAGGTGATGTTTTCTAAACCAGATGGTGGAGTATTAGAAATGAGGTGAATGTTTGGGCTCGACACTTGTTGGAACGTTTGAGAGTAATGAAGCCGTAGGAGATCAGCTGCTTCCATTGCTGACCGCGTGTATCCATCAGCCGTGACTAGCGCCGGAACCCCTCGCTTTACCTTTCGAAGGCCGTTAATGTGCCTATACAGGAGTTTGTGGTTAGTGCAGAATCGCTTCATTAACTTCTGCTGATGCGTGACCTTGTCTTCGCGGATCAGCTTCACACAGAAGTTACGATGTGTCACGTATGCAGTCCAGGTTTCGGCATTCGGGCAACCCTGGTGATTTCGCCATGCCAAATCCCTCCGGGACATACATTTACGTGTTCTGCTCCTCAGAAATGACTTACTCTGGTTTTTGGGTTGGAAGGACTTCTGTTCCGATGCTTGCGCTACCAGTGTGCTCAAAGTCCTTGTAAACATATCCCAGGCCAGGTCTGGGGGGCATTCGATTAAGAATGTCCAAGATGTATCCTTAACAAGCTTGGACAACACATTGTAGTGCGTGACAGTGTGCACTTTATCCTCCTCCTTTTCCGGGTACTCGGCATAGCATATATAATCAAAGAGTAGAGTGACATGATCACTACGACCCAGTGGTGTGCTTGTAACTATCCCGCCAACCATGAGTTCTTCGTTAGTTAGCACAAGATCCAGTATCGACGGCTTGTTAGAAGTTCGAAATCTGGTGGGAGAGGTTACGTGGTTGTAAAGAGGGTGGCTAGCAATAAGTTCTTGCAAACAGGCTTTAAAATGCGTACCGTCAGTTGCCGGCGTTTCTATGTCGTGCACGTTAAAGTCTCCAGCGATAAGAATGTGGGTGTAGGACTTGTTCAAAGCAAACTGAAAACGTGGTACAGTTTGGAGTCCATTTCCGACGCTGAGTTTGGTGGGCGATAAACCACGGCTAGTAGACATGTGTCCTTGTTTCGCAACCAAAGCGAATCGGGAGCTAGGATTTCCGGGTGATCGATAACTTCACATCGGAGGCTTGTATTATAATAAAGAATCACACCGCCACCCATTCCGGTTCTATCGGTCCGAAGCAGCGACATACCGGGTAACTTGATCTCACAGTCGGTTATCTCAGGGTTTAACCATGTCTCTGTAATCATGACGAGGTCCCGCGGTTGTGAGGCATGGAGTTCTCTAAGTTCGGCCAACTTGCTTCGAAGGCCTTGAGCGTTTGTGTACGTGCAAGATAGGGCTTTTGTGGTTAGGAGTTCATTGGTGGATGTCAAGTTTGTGTTCGCTTTTTAGCCGGCCGTTAGGTGGCCGGCAATTAATCGTTTTTTGGTTTGCGTATTTCAATCGTGTTACATGACATTATTGAGCGTTCCTGAACTGATGGTTCACTCGTGCTGTGCTCGGTCCTCCTGTGTGACGTGGGCGCTGTTGTGTCGGTCTCTCCGAAGGACTGTGCAAATAAAGAATTTGCAGGGTTTGCAAGTTCCATCGAATTTCTTCCGACTTTTGGTCGTTCGCCTGCTGCCTTTAGCCGTATTTCTGTTGGCAACCTAGCTCGAAACTTTAACCAGCTATCCCATCAAGGGGACTCAGACTAGACGGTTTCACTGGCGATGAGAAAGGCTCCAGTGGTGAGACGGGGGCAATTTCCAGATTTGATCAAAGCTCAGTGTCCATGTATGGGATACATGGGGCAACGATGGTACGATTGCAGGGCTGTGTCCCAATCGCTTACTAGTGGACTAAATGCACGCAGTCTCCATGAAAAAGCAACCCTAGTACTACCGTGAAACGCCCCTTGGTAATTTGATCACCGGGAAGGAGTTAGTCACGAAAACAGGTCACCGCTCCCGTTGGCAGTTAGGTGACTATTACAAGTGACAGAATGCCAACCGTATATAGAAGGAACGATGGTGTCGAACGGATCCACCGGTTGAATAGATAAAAGTGGTGACTTTTTCTAGATTTTTTCGTCGTTGGAATCAAACCAACAATTCCCTGCATAATTTCCGCTCCAAGTACCGAGATACCCAAACATTCGTTCTAGCGAGGGATTTTTGGGATTTGGAACACAAAAAGTTACTTTCTAGCTCCAGCCATAGTTATGAAGTTTTGACCATCGAAACTCGACATATACACATGATAGCACATATACTACCATATCTTCCCACATTTTATAGTAATAACACGCATATTTCTCGCGATCTGGGAAACTGTGTAGGTAGTGGCATAAACCAATATGTACAAAAAAGTATCCGTGCTCTTGCATAGGCAATATGTAGTGAAATATTTGGGCACATGATTCATGTAAAGGCGTTTCGGTGTATAGTTGAGACGGAAACCAAAGTTGGAAAGGTCGGTGTTTATATGTATTTTGGGCCCCACTTTGAATAGCTCATTGAGGGATTTATTCTATGTGAATATAGTCAATGTGGTATCCAGGTCAAGGCAACCGGACAGTTTGTTACTAAATGTTGCCACATTGTCACGCGACCTGCTGAGTGTGATTAGCACTTTATGCCACAGATAGGTATATCTGACCAGGAAAAAATTTGAGCGAATGCGTGTTATAGCATCTGGTATAATCCGTGTAGAACATAGTTGCGAAACTCTCAAGTTGAGTTATGTTGCAGTTCAAGCGTAGGCAGATCGGAAGAGGTTTTACTGTGTAGCAGCAACAAGTTACGCGTTAATCGTCACATTCAAATTGGTTCACGTGGAAGTTTGTTTCAACGCTCTGGACAGTTCATGGCAGAGCCCTTACCAATCAGGTGTTTAGTAAACGACCTCCGCAGGTGGCCCAGAGCAATACTGTATTTCT